GGGGGCGAAACATTTGCTACAAGTTTCATCTGTTGGTTAAAAATGTATTTACAAACAAACAATCAAAAGTTGACTTTTTTAATAGTATAAAAATCGGATAACTTTTAATAAATCAGTATTTACCTGCTCCTGAAAAAAATACCAAAGTCACTTATCCGATCTTATCACAACGGTGACGATATCTGATTGTACAGCGTGTCTGTCTGAAAAAATGCCACTTGAAAATGCTAAGCACTAATACTTTTATAAGTATATTATAGATACACCCAGTCAGAGGGTGTCTGTAACCAGCAGAGAGCAGGATTTCGAGTTAATAGTCAGGAGATTATTCTGCTTTCAGTAAAGTTGTCACGTGGGTGGTTGGCGGGTGCTCTGGTGTGGTTTGCTTCTTCTTTCCTATCAAACATCTATCGTCTTTATCCCCCCTCCTTCTTTTTCATGCTTGTTACTCTCTTGTAACACCTTTAATCTTCCGCACTTATGTGACCTTGCAAGTGCCGTAAAACACTTATTAAAACAAAGTTGTCACTATGTTTACCTTTTATTAACAATGGCGTACCAGGCGGTGATGTTATGTTCCTCTGTGTGCAGACACCTAGTAAAAGTATCAACAATGACAACAACAAAAATAATAACAGCATAACAACAGTACCATAATATCAACAGCCATACTGCAGGGTGTCTTTGAGCATGACACGATGACACTAAATTAAAAAAAAACCCACGACACTGCTTTGAGTCGACCAGCCACGGTGTCTTCGTCGAAATCTTTGTATACATACGTAACGGTGTGGGTGGTTGGCGGGTGCTCTGGTGTGGTTTGCTTCTTCTTTCCCATCAAACATCTATCGTCCTATTTCCCCTCCTTCTTTTTTATGTTTGTTACTCTCTTGTAACACCTCTAATCTTCTGGCGCTCATATGACGTTATGCAGTTGCGAGCACCATAAAACCTCTATTAAAACAAAACACATAAGGGTGTAATGATAAGAATCGAATTATTATGACGTGTTGTCATTTGTAAGATATTTTGTGTATGACATACGCAATATATAAATAAGGCTACATCGTAATACCTTTCTCCCACATAAGAATGCGCCCAAGACTAAATACGTCAACAACAACAAAAACAAAAGTTATACTATCAGAAACAGAACACGCGCCAATTACATTGTTCTTCAATAGAGATAAGCAATCCACACCAGGTTACTAATCCAATATTCAATCAAATCGGTTTGGTTTCGATACAGAGATCCAAGCTGATCGAATCAGGGAAGAAACAGCTGCCTCGTTCTCAAACTAAATCAATGAGAGAGAGAGAGAGAGAGTGTGTGTGTGTGT